ATGCAGGAGTCGAACCAGCAGCCTTGTTGTTAAGGGCATGCGCTGTATCCACTGAGCCATTTGGTTGGCAGCTCAGCTCAAGGTGGCGAGTTCAGTCTTAGTTGCGGGTGGGCATAGCCACCATCCCATGGGGGAGTCGAACCAGCAGCCTTATTGTTAAGAGCGCATGCTCTATCCACTGAGCCATTCGGGTGGCAGCTCAGCTCAAGGTGGCGAGTTCAGTCTTAGTTGCGGGTGGGCATAGCCACCATCCCATGGGGGAGTTGAACCAGCAGCCTTATTGTTAAGAGCGCACGCTCTATCCACTGAGCCATTCGGGTGGCAGCTCAGCTCAAGGTGGCGAGTTCAGTCTTAGTTGCGGCAGGGCGTAGCCCACCATCGAACAGGCAGTTTTGTTGTTAGGAGCATGTGCTCTTACCAGCTGAGCCATCCTGCCTCCTGTTGGCAGCTCTGCGGCAGCTCAGCTCAGGCACAGCGTCACTGGCCCATGTGGAAATTGAACCGGTGGCCCTGTTGCTCAGAACTCATGCTCTTAAGATAACTCTTAACCAAGTGAGCCACTCGGCCAGCTCCCTTTTCTCTTTTCTAATGTGTGTGATGCCTTAAATTCCCTTCTCAGCCCTGCTTTAGCTGTGTCCCATTAATTTTGATATGTTGTCTTTTCATTCACTTCAATGCAATTTTTTAATTTTTCTTGAGACTTTCTCTTTGACCTATATATTACTTAAAAGTGTGTTGGTAAGTTTCCAAGAGTTTGAACATTTTCCTGTTATCTTTCTGTTATTGATTTCTGGTTTGATTTCATTATAGTTGGAAAACACAATGTGTATGTTTCAGTTCTTTAAAAATTGTTGAGGTTATAGTCAATGGTATATATAGCTATATACGATGTCAGAGGGGTAACAGATTGGGGGGGTTATAACTTTGTGAGGGGTATAAATGTCTATTACATTGCTTTATACACCTGAAACAAATAAAAGAAATTGTTGAGGTTTATTTTGTGGCCCTGGCTATGGTGTATCTTGATATGTTTTCTGTGGGCACTTGAATGCGTATTCAGCTGTTGTTGGTAGAGTATTCTATACATCTCAGTTAGATCCTGCTAGTTGATAGTGTTGTTGAGTTCTGTGTCTTCACGGATTTTCTGTGTTTTTTCAATTGTTTGAGAGAGGTGATCAAATATCCAGCTCTAATTGTGAATTTATCTATTTCCGCTTTTAGTTCTGTCTTCTATTTTCTTTAGCTTTATATATTTTGCATCTCTGTTGTTGGGTGCATATACATTTAGGATTGCTATGTCTTGATGGATTGATCCTTTCATCATATAAAATATCCTTTTCTGTCTCTAGTAATCCTTTTTGCTCTGAGTCCATTTATTGGATGTTAATACACCTACCCTGTTTTCCTTTTATTAATATTTACATGATATATCTTTTCTCACCTTTTTATATTAAGCTGCCTATAATCATTATATGTGATGTGAGTTTCTTATGACGGCATATAGTTGGGTCATTTTTTAAAAAAATAATCTATTCTGCCAATCTCTGTCTTTTAATTATTGTTTTTAGATAATTTATATTTAATGTAATTATTGATATGTTAGGGCTCATGTTTTCCATTTTAATTTTTTGTTTGTTCTTTCTGTTTTTCATTTCTATTTTCTTTTTCCAGCCTTCCTGTGGGTTCTTGAATACTTTTTAGAATTTCATTTTGACTTATCTATAGTATTTTTAAGTGTGGTGTTTCTAATGGATGCTGTAGGTGTTATATAATCTATACATAATTTATCACAGTCTACTGATGTCATTATTTTACCAGTTTTAGTGAAGTATAAAAAGTTTACTATCATTACTTCTCTTTACCTTCTCATATATAATTGCCTTAAATATTTCCTCTACAAATATTTAGAACACATCAGAGAATGCTACAGTTTTGCTTCAACTGTCAATCATAGTTTAGAAAATGCAAGAAGAGAAAGAAAGCCTATTGTATTTACCCATATTTTTGGTTGCTGTATTCTGTTATCTTTTTTCTAATACTATATCTGATACCAAATGTTTCACTAACTGGGTATCCTAGAATTCAGTTGAATTCTGACGTTAACTACCCAGAGTTATTGACAGATTCCACAAGTTTAAGGGTTCAGTCCTGCTGCAAGATTGTCCCCATAGCAGGCATCAGATGCAGATATGGTGCCCAGGCAACCCACACTTCTGTGCAGCTGAACACAAATTCAGGCGACCTCACAACACCCCCTAAGTTTTGATAACTCACTGGAACATCTCACATAACTGAGGAAAACAGTTGACTTACATTTACTAGTGTATTATAAAGGATACAACTCAGGAACAGCCAAATGGAAGAGATGCATAAAGCAATGTATCAGTGGAGGGGGATGCCACAGAACTCTCTCCAGCCCCTTTCCCCTCCCTGGCGGTCAGGGGGTGTTACTGAGAGTTCCAACTCTGTAATCATGGCTAAGCATTTCTGGAGACTAGCTTCCATTTTGAAACTATCTAGCCTTCCCTCACCCCCCAACTCCTCCAGCCAGAAGCCATGTCATTACCATACAAAAAATATTCTTATCATTTAGGAGATTCCAGGGATTTGGGGAGCTCCCTGCCCAAAGCCAACCAAACCTGGCGAAAAGACCAAATATTTATTTTTTCTATCATATCACATGTTTTCTTTCTTTCTCCCTGACATTCCAAGGTGTCTTCTGTGAACATTTCCTTTTTGTTTAGAGAACTTCCTTTAGCCATTCTCTTATTATGTGTCTGCTGGGAACAAACTCTCTTAGTATGTCTTCATTTGAGAATGTCTTAATCTCCCTTTCATTCCTGAAGTATAATTTTTGCTGGGTGTAGGATTCTGGGTTGATAGTTCTTTTCTTTCAACACTTAAAAAATATTATGCCACTTCCTCTGAACTCTGTGGCTTCAGTTGAGAAATCCTCTGTCATTCTAATAGTTTTTGTTTTTGTTTTTTCCCTTCTAGGTATTAGTTTTCTCTGGCTGCTTTCAAGATTTTTTTCTTTGTCTTTAGTTTTTAGAAGTTTAATTATTATTTGTCTTGTTATGGATTTCTTTGGGTTTATTCTGTTTGAGCTCAGCTTTTTGAATCCATAAGTTTGTGTCCCTTGTCACATTTGTATGTTTTCAGCCATTATTTCTTAGAGTACTTTTTCAGCCTCACTTTCCTTTTTCCTTTCCTTCTGAAATTCTGATGACAGAAATACTAGATCTTTTGTTATAGTCCCACATGTCCCTGAGGTGCTGTACATTTTTTTTTCTCAATTTATTTCTGTCTCTGGATCAGAATGGGTCATTTCTATAGTTCTGTCTTTCACTTCACCAACATTCCTGTGCGCCCTCCATTCTACTTTTGAGTTCATCCACTGAACTTTTTATTTTGGTTTATTGTATTTTTCAGTTTTAAAATTTCATTGAAATCTCTTTTATATCTTCTGTTTCTTTGTTGAGGCTTTCTATTTTTTTCATTTGTTTCAAATTTATTCAAAATTGATTATTGAAGCATTTTTAGCATGGCTGTTTAAAAATCTCTGACAGGTACTTCTAACATCTCTGTCATTTCAGTGTTGGCATGTATTGATTGTCTTTCATTGTTTGAGATCTTCCTGGTTCTTGGTATGATGAGTGATTTTTCTATTGAAACTTATGCTTTTTTTTTTTTTTTTTTTACCAAGTTATGAGATTCTAGATCTTCTTTAAGCCGTCTGTTATAGCTGGCTTTATCTGACTTGGTTTTGGCAGTGGAATGGTTTTGACACCTTGTTAGTGCCAGGTTGAGGGAAGTCCAGGTTCCCCACTTGGCCCTCTTGACACCTGAGGTGGAGGGGGCTCCTTGTTACTACTGCTTAAGGGTAAGAGTTCCAGTGGAATCCACATGGTCTTCATGAACCCTGCATTGGAGGTGAAAGTCCTGACTCCCCACTTGGTAGGCCTCTTGTGACACATCCCCATTGGGATGACAGAGGGTCATTTTGTTCTTGCAAGGTGAGGTTGCAAGTCTAGTCTGCTCTTGTAGTGCACTGACACCACAGGAGTGGAGGGACTCATTGCCATCTGGGAGGAAGGAAATTCCTGGCTTCATATTTGGCCCTCTCTGACATTACCCTGGTGGGGGTGTTGGGGCACCTTACTGTCTCTCACGAGGTTGGAAGTCTCTGCTCACACTCAGCCTTTGCTGGTAGTGGTGGAGGTGGAGCAACAGTTTTTTGTGTCATTTGGCTGGAGTGTGGTTATTGACTAAAGGTTTTCTGTCATGCTAGCCTGCCCCTTGCTTAGTCCTCTGGCTAGAAAGAGCAGGTTTTTGTTGTTTTTGTTATTGTTGTTGGGTTGCCAGCTTCTTCAGGTCTAAGTCTGGGATCTATGAGGCAAAAAGAAAACCCAGTGAACTCACCGCCATGTCTTGCTTCAGATCCGAGTCCCTAGCTGGTCTGCCTTTGTCTTGCCTCCTTTCATAGTCTCCTTATATTTCTTTTATATGTAATATCTAGGGGTTCTTGTTGTATGTAGTGGGAGAAATATGGAAAACTTTGTCTATTCTATCTTCCTGAAAGTGGAAGTTGCCTTTTTTTTTTTAAGGCCAGCAGTTCTAGCTCTTTATACCAAATCCTTATTCTAAGTATTCTATCCTGTAATAAATCTGATGCCAGAGGGACAGAAACAAAGAGCCACCCATCCTTGTTCATTGGGAGATTAACTCATATGAGAAAGGCTTTGTGCTGCAGCCAGAGAAACTGCATGCTATTAGGCAGGAGCCCTTGGTTTCCAGTGTTGTCTTCTTCCTTGTTCTGGCTACCAGGTTATTAATCTTGTTAGTCTTTACATGGAAGTCAGTGATTTAGCATGTACGTTTTTATTTTACTGCTTTGTCCACAGATAAAGGTAAGTAATTCAAAGATAATAGATTATTCATATTTTAATTTTATTTTAGAAAATATCTAAGAAATTTAAAGCACTATTTTTCTTATGTAGGCATTGAAGACAAATTTAGGCCTTTTTATTCAAGTCAATTAGAAGAATTTGTAGAAGAGGATGTGAAAAGTTTAAAGGTAGGTAATATAGCAGATGCTAAAAATGTTAACATGTCAAAGCATATGTATTTTCAATTATGAAAACCATAGCAATATAATTTGTTAAGGAGATTTGAGGTAAACTAGCTTCATAACCACATAAAACAAAATTAGCAATTTTATGCAGATAACATCAACTTGGCATACTGGACCCATTCCTCCTTCAAAACTAATGAAATGAGAGAAAATATACACAGCAAAATAAAAACAAAATCACAACTTCTCTGGAATAGAATGGAAAGTATCCTAGGTGGATCAGTCATTTTGAGGAATTCTTGAAAGATAGAATGCCAACAGAGTTATATTTTCTGAGACATATAACAGAAAAAGAAAAGCTAACCCAAAACATAATGCTGAAGAAGTACTAGAGAAGCAAGTCTTGAGTCAGTGTACAGAAGAAATAGCATGGTTACCTAGGACATTGACAGGGAGGGTCATTTGGGATCCATAGTTGTGCCATTCATAAAAGTTGGCTCCTCCCGCTAATTCCCTAAGCAACAAATGGGAGCAGCATCTGCCTCGGGCTGAAGCAGTGAGTGATGCCGGGGGTCAGAGAGGTATGTCAAAGACTGTTAGCTAGCCAACAAAGAGAAACGGAAACTTTCCCTACATACACACTCAGGAAACAAGCTACTGTCATAAGTCTTACAGCAACATACTGCTAGAATTATGAAAGGAAAACTACAGTAAATAAAACAGTGAGGCAAACAGAAATTTTAAAATACAAAAAAAGGAAAAGAAATTAGACAGTCAAGGATTGCCAAACTTTTCCACTATAAAAGAGATATCTAATGCAAACCAAGAAAGCAACCAAAAGGACATATTAAAGATAGTTACTAAGGCAAAAAATAATCAGTAATATTTTATAATGACAAAAGGTTCAATTCACAAGGATGCTAATAATAGCTTTAAATATGTATATGCCCATAACAACGTAGCCTCAAAATGTACAAAGCAAAAATTGACAGAACTCAAATAAGAAATACTCATAGACAAATCCATAATCATAATTGGAGATTTTAATACAAATTTCTCTTTAATTGATAGAATAAACATAAAAAATCAGTAAGGATATAGAAAATTTGAAGAACATAATTAACACATTTGACCTAATGGAAATGTATAAAACACTGCACCTAATAACTGCAGAATACTTACCTTTAAAGGCTTTTCAAAAACATATAGAACATTTTCAAAAGTTGATGGTGTACTGGGAAATAAAACAAGTTTCAACCAATTTGAAGGATTATAATCATATAAAGAATGTTCTCCAAATACATTTCAATTATGCTAGAAATTAATCTTAGAAGATAATTAGACTTATTTCATTTAACATAATAGTCTCTAAGTCCATCCATATTGTCCCAAATAGTACGATTTCATTCTTCTTTATAGCAGAGTAATACTCCATTGTATAAATGTACCACAGTTTCTTAATCCAGTCATCTACTGATGGGCATTTC